TTTGTTGCTTTTTTTTTTTTATCAAAAAGATCGTTGTCATGGCAATTTCTGCTGATCGGACTGTTTGGGCTTTCACAGCCCGTGCGATTCTTGTGCATCTTCTTGTTTCCATCATGTATTTCCAACTTGTGAAATCCACTTGAACACCAATAAATAACGTTAGAAATGTTGTTGTTAAGACTTAAGCAAAACTGTGACAGTTGATTGTGTGATATCGTTAACTTTTCATTGAATACAATTTGCATTTACGTAAGCAAAACCATTTGGTTAAAAGTCATCGTTTCGTATTTAATGTCGAAGTTCATCTAATGTTTTAATTAAACTAAAATTAAATTTATATACATATTCATTATTTCTATCACAGTTAGAAATAGCATTAAGACTTAAGCAAAACTGTGACAGTTGTAGTTTAACTTGATTGTGTGATATCGTTAACTTTTCACTGAATACAATTTGCATTTACGTAAGCAAAACCATTTGGTTAAAAGTCATCGTTTTGTATTTAATGTCGAAGATCATCTAATGTTTTAATTAAAACAAAAATTAAATTTATTCATTGTTTCTATCACAGTTAGAAATCATTTGTTTACAAACAAAATACCATCGCAGTTTCGTATTATACACATCGATTATGGAAGTGGAAATTGTTTTGTCCACATGTAATGTTCTGTTTCTGTTTTCTGTAATCTTCTATTTAGAACAACAACAAAAAAAACTAACTAAGCAAGCAATCAATTTTAATTACACTTTAACACCTAAGTTTATCGCGTGAGTCACAGTTTGCTTCGATGCAATTGTTATTGCTCAGAACAGAAGATAATGTTTGAACAACTGAAACATCAGAACGCACTCGGATCTGCATCGATGACAGAGACGTACTCGTCATGACTTCTTCAAACGAATCAACGCTCTCGTGATTCACGAATTTGCTATAATTTGTTTACGCTTCTAAAAACGACAACGATATTTTGGTTTCTGAACGAATCATAGACTGATTTGATTACTTGTTTAAACAATTCAACTGTTATTAGAAAAGTTCAGTTTTCAAAATTTAGTTGTTATAGTGTATTTGCTACACAACTATTTATTTGTTAGTAAAGTTGAAGCAGTAAAGTTGTTACGGTAATTGCTGTTTGGTATGTAACAATGAGGTGTAGCAATCGAAATAACAGTTGGGCATTGTCTTACAATCTAAAACCGTGTTTTTAATTCACTTTTATTGCAATTAAATATCGCGCGAGACGGCGTTAATTATGAACCTGGTAATGCATTTTTTTTGGTACGAAGATTGGAATCATTTTAATTGCATTTTTTATCAAAATTAATTGTTTGCTTCACAAGTGTGGGAATTTTAAATTTCGAAATGTTTGGGCAGCGATAGCGTCTGTTTATTCGAACGATAATCTTCATACAGTTTTTAGCTATTCTTGCAGATCGATAATTTGTTTATTTATACGCGTTATCTTCTATTTGCTAATAACTACTGTTTAGTTAAAGCGCGTGCGAGCTTTAAAATTTACTTTAACTGTATGTATATATTATGTAAGTAGGCGTTTGTTTATTTTGTGCGACCAATAGCAATTGTTTTCTGCTTTTAAATTGCTGTTCATATGTACCCTTGAATGCTAATTGCATTTGTTTAGTCAATCACAAGAGTTTACTAAAACTTTGTTTCGAATGTTGAGTGTTATAACAGTAGAAAAGAAAATTTAAACTTTTGTGATAAGTTGTGTGATGTGTTGTTTATACAGCGATAAAAAGCAGCAGAGGTGATATTATTATAATTATTATTACGGTTGTAGAAACGAGGAAGTTTAAGGCTTAATAAAAGTCTGCGTTCGCGTGTGTCACATTGATCCGAATCTCGTATAGGTAGGTGTGCACGCACGTCGAGGGGATTCCCCTTCGTCCATGAATTTTGTAAAATTGTAATTATTATTACAATGTGTTTCCACCCTCGTCACGTTTTGTATCACATTGTAATAAACATTCGCCTCCCCTATGTTTCGCCGAAAATAGAGCGCCGATGCAGAAACATTCATTAACAAGCCTTCTGCTCTTCGCCCCATCTATATTTAGGCCAAAGTTATTCACCTTTCCACGTGTAAACAACTGTTCGCGTTTTCCGTACAAAAAAAGAAACAGAAAACATTTTGATTAGACGTTGAGAAATTCCAAACTCGCCTCGACCCATCTGCACTAACTACAGAAAAAATAACACGAAGCGTTTTCATTTAATTAATCGGAATTGATGAACGTCAATTAAGACTAATTGGCACGCAGAAAGCGCCAACAATTTCCAAGCGAAATTATTAACGAAATCAACAAAGAACGTTTCCGAAACTATAAT